TATGGAGATTTGGCTTTAGTTCCTGAGTTTACCACTTACTAGTTGTTAGTGGGACCTTGAAGTTATTTAGCTTCTCTAACCCTCATAATAATGCCATCTATCTCATAGAGCTGTTGTGAGGGGACTGTGAGTTAACTTCATTATAGCAGTGCCCAGTACAGGACACACATTCAATAAATAGCAGCTAACAGTAATTCAATCAAAGCAGATACAAGAAAAGTATTAGGTTTAGGATAATAATGGGTCACACATCCTGAAGAAGTGTGACCCATTCTTTCACCCAATGGCTTCAGCACAACAGAAGTCACCAAGTAATAGGCACTCGATAGGAAAATGGGGACACAAAGATCAATAAAACATGACCCTACACCTTGAAAGTTCAAGTCTGATGGAGGAGAAAGACATAGTAATTGTCACCATGTGAAATAGTGGTACAGGAGCCTCAAACCCAGTGAGGGCAGGTTGGAAGAGAGGCCTGAGAGAGGTGCCAGCATTTGATGTGAGTTTTGAAGAAAGAAAGTAAGTGCTACCATCCTTAACTCTCTCCTGGGCTACTGAAGTACCTTCCTGAATGATGACCCTGCTCCTACCATTGACCCCTTATGATCCATTCTTCATACAACAGCCAAAGTGATTTTTTAAAAACATGTACATAAAGTAGATAATGTCATTCGACTGCTCCACATCCTTCATTAGCGCCACACTGCAATCAGAACAAAACCTTAGCCCCTTACCAGGGCCTTGAAGTCTCCACAGTCTAGCCCCTGCCTGCCTTTCTGTACCATTCCCCTTGTTTACTCCATTCCACATACTAACCTCCCTGTTCCCCGAACACAGAACTTGCTGAGAAGTTCACTGCTTCCTGAGAGCCTTTGCATGAATTTCCCACTGCCTGAAATTCTTTTCCTCACAGATCTACAAAGCTCTTCAAAGAACCCTTTCCCAGATTTCCAATCAAAATCAGCATCTTCCCTCTCCATCACATTACCCTATTTCATTTTCTCAAAGCATTTATTATTATCCAAACTTATTTTGTATGTATGCTTATTTGCTTACTGACTGACTATGTCACTAAAATGTAAGCTCCTGGTAAGTAGAAACTATATCTTTCTTGCTCACTTACATTAATGCCTGGAGGATAGTAAGCATTCAAATACTTTTTGAGTGAGTGAGAAGCGCAGAATGGCAGAAGGCCCACCCCAAAGGCTACATGAATGTCCCAAGCCACCAAGCCCAAGGGCCTACATCAAAGCCTTTTTTTGGGGTGTGGCTCACTCATCCTGAGTAGTGAGTTTAAAACAGTGACTATCTTGAGTGGCCTACCTCATATCCCTCCTCCATGAGCACCATATTCTGAATCAAAAGAAGGAGAAGTTTGTGACAGACTAGACATTTCCTAGCACCCAGAGACAGGCACCAGATGTCTGAGAGATTAAAAAAAAGGTAGAGAGGAAGCAACTTCCTCAGGAAACTGTGGGGAGGCCCTGGGCTCTCAGGCAGAACATCATCCATTAAAGAGTTTAGCTGAGTGATAGCATCAGACCAGCACTGCCAAGAAGCCAGCGGGGCTGGGACCTTCAGGCCTAGGAACCGCGAGGTGCACTGGAGAATGCTAGTGTGGAACACTAAATGCTCCTGACGACCTCATTTACTTCTAACTTCATTTCACCTTTCTAGGAGTTCAACCTGCCTTTTATGTGGGCAAGTGGGGGAACATGTAGTGACCACATGACCATATGACCATGATCATCCTCTACTGTTTTGGAGTAAGAACTTGGGTTATCAAAAAAGCCAAGCCAAGGAGAGGTAACTGGGCTTTTTCTGTCACAAATGTCTTTATCCAAAGGCTTTTACATGAATTAAAATGGAGCTGCAGCAGACTGCAAAGAAGTTACAAAATCCATTGTAGGTAAGCCTTATAAATTTAATTCTGCAATTGTGCAGATCCTAAACTAGGATGATACCAAATGGTTTAACTATGTGTTAGACTGAAATGTGATTTCTGCCATTATTGGTCATCACCAGGCAACAGCGGCATCCTGGGACAGGAAATGAGAGAGAACAGTTAATATCACTGAGGCATGATATTCCAGCCCCCCTGGCACTTCTCATTATATACACTTTCATTCATTAAGCATTCAGTGAGATATCACCACTGTGCTAGGCACAAAAGAAAATAAACTCCTCTAATAAATCCCCCAAAGAATTTACAATCTAGCAGGGAAGAAAAAAAGCAAATACGCAGAAGCTATAAAATAACACCATCTCAACTAACACTTAGAGGATGGAGGAGCAACACCATTAGACTCTGGGGCACAGGATGTAGCTCCGTGAGGGCTGGGGAGGATAATTATCTCTTCAGTTACACTTCAACTTAATGACAGAACTTTTCTTCTCTCCCCCATATTATCTAAGACCTAATTCTCTATACGTGGTAGGCTCTAAATCATACTTACTACATAAATAAGAAAATCAGTCCAGAGAGAAAAAAATCAAATCTACTCAATTCACTTTGTAGCTGCTGATATTATGAGTGTTTCTGGTTTTTTAGTAATAATTTGGGTCATGGCAGAATTCTTCACCTCCTTGGTTATGGGTGGATACTTGTATTATTATCTCACCAAAAATATGGGAACACTTAAAGAAAGTGCACATGGCCAAGAGTGGGTTGGGGTGGCATGTATGTGTGCATGAATCTGCAAATACGGAAACAAAAGTTGTTGGGTCCAATACCTTGTAGATGTTAAAAAATGAGAAGACTGATCTATAGTTTATAGTCACTAGTGCCATAATCGCAAATGCAGAGGTAACACTATCATAATATAATACTAAAAGGCTATCAGTACCTAGAAATAAACTTGTTTTGTATCTTCATTTTTAGAAACATACCCAGTGAATATTTAAATATTATTGTATTTTATGTGATCATGATGGAACTTTGGCATGGTACTGTATGAGAAAGGCCATAAAGCATTAGGAGCCACGAGACCTAATTCTAACCTGCTGCTGACTTGCTGTAAAGCTGCAGACAAGCTTAACCTTCCTGAGCCTCGCCAGAGAGAGGAGTGTGAAGGGAGGCTGACGACAGGAGGAGAGTCTGTGCGGACAGCCACAGCCCTGATCTGCTCAGATGCTCCCCTCTCAGAGCCTCACTCTCAGCACTCACTCCTGGGTGGGGGGTGGGGAGGTGCTGCAAAAATACAGACCTCTTCACAACTTTTACCAGCTTTTTGGTTAATGCTATCTAAGGTTCCTTCAGATTCTGAAAAGTCCTCTGGTTCTTTTTAGGATGTCATCTTTAGGTTTGACAATAAAGCCTTGAGAAACGCATCTTCATAAGTGAATCTAGCAACTCACCGTTTCCAAAGGCCATTTCAAAGGTATAGTCATTAGCTCAGTATAATTAGCAGTTAAGGATTAGAACATAGAAATCAAACATTTAAAGAACCCAGGGGTTGCCAAATCATAGAACATATATTTTATTAGCTATTATTGTTCCTTACAAATTATACATAAACACTTTGATATATGTATACATATGCTTGTGTATGTATATATATATACACACACACAGTCTAAAGATTACTATAAAGAACAAAATGACAGCTGTTATGAATCCTAATCAATGATCTAAAGTACACTACTTTAAATGCAGAAGTGCTGATAGTTATAAGCTTCAAATTCAGAAAAGTTAGTGTGAATTTCATCCTTGCATTTTTTTTTTATCAAGGATAATGCCTATAGTGCACATTAACTTTGGGATTCCTACATATCAACATTTAGAGATTTTTATTTAAGCTAACACATGACTATTCTTCACAGAGCTCTTAAATTCTGCCCTATCTGGTACTCTTCAGTGTTGAGCTATTTTGTTTTATACTTCTATATTTTTAAAATACATACTCAAGCATACCCATACAATCAGATGAATATACATAGACTCACAGAAACCTACTCTGAGTAAATATCCAAGAAGACATAAACCTAATATGGGCAGGAGAGGAGGAGAAGTAGCTCATTTAGTTTATAAATAACTATTTATAAACCATTAAGGACACTCAAAACCTAACCGTTATAGATAAAAACTTAACGATTAGAAAAGATCCATGTTGAGAGTTGATTGCACATTTGTTTTGAATTAGTTTTCCCCTCTACTCTGGTTCACCTCTGCCAACAGTAACAATAGATGACATGTAAAGTTCCCTTCAGCTCTCAACACTTGTGATCTGCAAATTAAAGCTCTATGATGACTAACACTCTCTTGTCACCGTGACCTAAAAGTGATCAGCCTAGTCCTGAAATAAGATCTGTTTTGGCACAAATGGGGCAGAAAATAAGAGTTGGGGGTCTTAATGCACCAAATGTGAAGTATTAGTCTGTAATGCAATGCTAATTTTTAAGATGTTAATTTTTAAGAAGAAAGGTAAAGTCAGCAGCAGACTAGGATGTATGAAGAGGATGCCGCATGAAGAACTAGAGATAAATATGAATCAGAAGTGAATTCTGTATGCCCAATGAGCCACCCATTGACCTTGCCTTATAACCACCAATCATGGCTTCCTGTTGGCCCTGGGCAATTTCCACACAAACTTAATGTAACAGTTATGCACGTAAGAAATGTAAGCCCAAATCTGAGACAGTAACACTACTTTTCTAATAGTGAGCGTGTGATGCTATCCCCTGCACCACCTGGACACAATATAGAAACTTACAACAAACATTCTCCCAGAGAGCACAGTTATTACCATCCCACCAGTCTGCAGACTGACACTGCAACAGAGTATATAGCATTAGCACAAACGTCCCCCAGTTTTACTCCAAAGTTACTGAATATTGGAATTTGTTTTTTATATAAAAGGTCAGTATCTTCAAGTCTTGATTCTGTAATGATAAGCCATTTCACAGCTCCAGGAGCTTTGAAGTGAACACATCTCATCTGGTAGCCCCTCACCCCCAGCCTGCCAGAGTCTGTGCAAGTGAAACCTATGAGTCTGTCTTACCTGTAATCTGACTCTGTCCTTGTGGATTAAAAGGACTTGGTGCAGAGTTCAGGGAGGGCCGTGGGTTCTGAGGCGGGACACCTACTCTCATACTGGGATGAGGAATGCGCCCTAAATCACTGAGGCGGTCAGAGAACAAACTAGGTTTAGAGTCATCAAGCTTCTGTCTGTGCCCTGGAAACAGCAAATCATAAAATAAAAGCACATTAATTAGCTGAACAATTGACCATACTAAATAGATATGTGAACATACATACTGGGGATTTACACCAAGGAGTTATGAATACTGATACTTATAATGAAGTATCTACAATGCCTTGCATTTCAAATTGCTTTATAAGCATCGTCTGGTGGCAAGCACTCCTAAATCCAGCTCCTAGTCAAGCACCAGTAATGGGGCCTGGATGCTAGAGCTCTGGAGGCACTCTCTGGGCACCTCTTCTAACCCTCTTGGTGAGGATGGGAAAGGTGAATGTGTACTGGGGTATATTTGCATGTCTCAGGAAGGAGAACCGCCCCCGAAAGCTCACAAGAGTCCATACAGGTGACACATATGGTCCCAAAGTTGGGGCAGAAACAGAGACAAACACATTTGTCAAAGGGAAACTTCCATTATGACCACAGTGACATTTTCTTTTTTTGTTACTACTACACCTAATTGAAAACTTAAAACTCAAACCCAGAACCCCTTTAAGAGGCAAAAAACAGAAATGTAGGCAAGGAAACTCAAATTCTCCAAAGGAATCTGGATGGTTTGTGATGTGCCAAAGCCTGAAAGTATATAATAAATTATGTTAAATTAGAAAGAATGCTTTTTAAAATTTTAAATCTAGTACTGTGGTTTTGTAAAAGAAACTGAAATATATCCTTTGGGTTACAATGGGAATGTGAGAAATCCATTATTTAAAAAAACAAAAAAACCCTTTGTCCCTCTTCTAGTTTATTCAAGTCTAAAATCTAAGGAACTTCTAGATATTAAAGAAATATGCAAATGAAAGTACAACCAAGCTACTAAAACTTTTTAAAAACTATCAAATCAGTCTTAGCAAATAGTATAGTATTGTCTTGGTGCAAGTATAAACAGAAAAACATCTGAATCTCGGTGCAATATTAGTTAAGTGTAACTCTGTAGAGTGGTGCTGACATGACCAAGGACAATAATGCCTAACGCATAAGCAGAAGTATACTGTGGATTCCTTCTTCCATACTTGATACCACCGAGGCCCTAGTATGTTGCTCCAACATGTTAGTAAAATGTTAAGTAACTGAAGCTGATTCAAAGAAGAGCCATTAAGATGATAAGTGTAAAGAATTTGCCCTTCTCTAAAGAAAAATTAAGGGAATTAGGAAAGTTATGCATTAAAAATCTATCCATAAAAGAGAAAAAAAAAAACCTTGAAGGAGGATTAAGAGCCTTCAAGGATGGGAAGGTATATTCTATGGGTTGCAAGAACATCTCATCTTCCACTTAGCACAGGACAGGAGAAATATACCAGGATAGGGTTAAGTTGAACATTAGAATTTCCGAACTATAAGCTGTCTTCATAAGACAAATTCCTTATTTTATTTGCCCCAAAATGTATTTTCCTGTCTCCTTTTTCATTGCCTACCCAGCCCAAAGAAAACAGACAGGAAGCCAAGGCTTGGTAATATGAGTGTAGCTGTCTCCACAGCCAAACCTGTTCCATTGAGGCCCCTTAACTGAAATGCACCCACCAGTCTAAGTTTTGGGCATCTGCTATAATAAAGAGACTAAAATGAGGAGAAAAACAATCAAGAAAAACTAGGGAAGCTCATTGTTTGTTGATGGTTGTTTTCTCCACCATTTATGACCTTTTATCCAGGTTACAAGTAGATTTTAGTACTCTAAAGGACCTTTAGAGATTTATCCAAAGCAGCTGCCAGACCCCAGCAAATGAAGAGTCCACAGATGAAGCAACTAAGGACTGCAGAGGTCAAACAATTTGCCCGTGGTTCTCAGCTATTGACTAGCTCGGCCAAGAAAGGATACAGTTCTTATCCTGGTTGACTAAGCTACCCACTCATCATATGGCACCATCAACACCAGCAGTCTAGTTTTCTCTTCCCCTCCTCTCCTAGCTGCTATGGAGGACTGAAAACATCCAGATCAACAAAGTGAGACATCTAAGAACCAAGCCCTGTGAGGTGCCAAGGCTGGTTTTCAATGCATACAGAAGCAGAAAGCAAGGTTTCCATTACCAAGTCAACAGCTCACCCATTACCCTAAACAAATGACCATCGATACATCTTGCTGTGTCTAACTAGTTTCACAATTAGAGAATTATACAGTACCTGCCACAGTTAGATCCATGGATTCTGTTCTCTACACAAATACCTAAAAAACCATTGGTATGGTGTTGATACAGCTGTAAACATTAACAAGAAAGCTTATGGAATTGTCCCTGGAAGTTATTTTTTTCCTGAGGGCTAAAGGGAGGGCTACATGATCTTGCATGGTTCCTTTATATACTGGAACTTTGTGGGCCATGGGTCACAAGAAAATTAAATAAGCTTCGCCTCTGCTTTCTACGGCCTTTTCATTAGGTTTTTGTGAAGACCGTATGAGATGTGGGCTCACCATATATATGTGTGAGTGTGTACACTTCCGTTTCTCTTAGCCCACATCTTCAAGGGAGTAATAGGACACTGAAGTCAAGAATAAAGAATCTGGAACAGCACTGATGGGTGTGCAAAGTTTAAGAGGAGGTAAAAATTTAAAAACCTCAATGACATTTTGGAAATTATCTTCAAAGATGACCTACCAAGTATTTACAGACACCTAGAGTAATTCAGGGAAAACCTATCTGTGGCAGCATGTTTACAAAAACATGCATTTTCCTTGTAGATGTCTGCCTCTTCATAGCCACCACCACAACCACAACAAAATTCTTACAGTACAATGGAGAGCAAAAGCTATTCAGGTTCTTCATCTTTCAACCATGACAAATACCCGCTACCACTAAACCACATCAGGGTAACATGCGAAGGCTGGGCTGAAAGATGTACTCACATCTTCGGCACCCAGGTAATTCCTTCAGAAATCAAGAGCACGGAAGACGAAGGGGACACTGACTTAAACCAAAGCCAGGGTTCACCACCAGGGTACATGATGAAGTAAACCTCACCCATGGGCCAAAGAGTGATCTTCCAAGCAGGGGGAAGGCATAAAGAATGAAAAACTCTTATGATATATTAAAGACTATGTAAAAGCTCAGTCTTGGATCCTCTTCTCTAGCTGCATTTTCCCCCTTGAGCAGTGACTCTTCTACCCCAAATGGATAAGAAAAATCTTCGCAGAAGCTTCCCACATTCAATCCATTACCAAGTCCTGTCATTTCACTTGGAAAATATATCTCAAATCTATTCAGTTCTCTCATTTCTACTGGCACAACCCTAGTCCAGGCCCCCACCATCTCTCTCTGGGCATCTGACATTGTCTCCTTCTACGTTTCCTCTCCCAGTACCTTCCCATATTTCCAAACACTCTCCCCCCGATTCTTTGCATAGTCCATGATTTCTCATCCCTCAGACCTCAGGATGATCACTATTCCCTATGAGAGTCCTTGCCTGCCTACTGTAATCAGAATAGGTTCCCTACCTCTTGAGCATACCCTCTGTTTGATTCCTTTATGACTATTACCACAATCTGTAATAATCTTGTATAAATCTTGTATATTTATTGTCTCCCCTGCAAGACTCTAAGTCCCATGAGAATGAGTGCTGTCTTGTTTACAGCTATATCCTCACAACCCTACAGGAGGTGCTCAATAAATTTTTTTTTATATTAAGAGAAAGGAATATTATCAGAAAAGTGTACCTCCATAGCCGATCATCTGACACCCTTTAAGTGATCAAAATTAAGGATATTTAAAGCATGCGTTAATCTTTGATTTACCATTAGTTTTATCCTATCAAGGAGTAATCCCCCTTTTCTTTCTTTCTTTCTTTTTTTTTAATCTTTAATCTACACTTACATGAAGAATATTATGTTTACTAGGCTCTCCCCTATACCAGGTCCCCGCTATAAACCACATTACAGTCACTGTCCATCAGCATAGCAAAATGTTGTAGAATCACTACTTGTCCTCTCTGTGTTGTACAGCCCTCCCCTTTCTCCCTCCCCCCCTATGCATGCTAATCTTAATACCCCCTTTCTTCTTCCCCTCAATAAATATTTTATACAATAAATTAATAAATGAATATTTTCTTTTAAATAAAAATCTTGGTTAAAAGAGCATTTTCTGGCCCAGGATATCATATTACAATACTACCTTTCCCCCAAAAAACCCTCTTGTCTTATTTGGCTACCTAGTGAACTCAGTGGGAAAAGCTTCTGTTTAGAGACCAACCTTTAATTGGTGCTTCCTAAGAAATTTCCCTGAAGGACTTTGATTTAACTAAAAGTTTGTTTGATTTCTGAAATAGTCCCCACTGGCTCTCACTACAATTTTTAAGCATTGTTGCAAGACTTTTAGAGTCATAGAGCTGAAAGGGACAACAGAAGTTATTTAAACTCTAAATTTCAGAGCAACGTACTTCTTTGATGGATGAGGACCCTGAGTCCCTGAGAGAGGAAGGGACTTGTCCAAAGTCATGGTTAGCGGTGGAACTAGAACTTAGATTTTCTGATGGCTGGTCCAAGGCTCTTTCCCTTCCACTGCCAACCAGTTTATTTTAGGTTATAACAAGGCAACACCAGTCATTCAGGGGAAGTCATGGTTAAAAGTGAATTTACAGTAGAGGAAAAAGTAGTTTTCAGAACAAATTTCTTTCAAAACTTGAGTGTGTTTGGTTGAATATGACTTTTGTTGCAATAAATTCAGGGGCACAAGAAGTAAGCATGTTCAAAAGGTCACAGCATTCACACATCCTGAGAGCAAAGACTCCTGAGGAACTCTTAAGTCACTAAGCAACCCAGCTAACTGTCCCCTTCTTCCCCACCCAGCACTTTTAGTCCAAGGACAACTCACCACAAAGCTGATAATATTGCCATTTGAACTTCTGCTTAAAGCATCATGTAACTGAAACCAGTTCATAAAGACTCTGAAACTGTGGTATGTGAACTTCAAAAATGAACTTGCCTTTGTGATGTGACCCATTTGGCCCATTTTCATAGAAATTGATTAAGTTGAACTGCTTAACAAGTTTGGAGA